CGCCGATAGAGGGCATCCTTGTTGTGTCTATATTATGCATTCACCATTGGATTTTGATACAAATGAAAAAGCTCTTAACTGGCTTTAAATAGCAGTTATGATGCTGAAAACTGCTGACGTACTTTAGAAGTAATCTGTCTATTATTATATGTTTTGAAATATTTAAAACTGTGATACTTAATCAACTAGTAAATATGATCTAACTGAGTATAGGCGTGTCAATTTAATGCATTTATTGATATGGGGTAGGGGGTAACATTTATGCTCACGAATTGTAATCGTCTTAATATATTTTTTTTGTTATTAGTAATACAGAGTAAAATAGTACAACCCTATGATATTTGGTATAAAGAACAATGTAACGGCATGGTAAATTATGTCACATGAGGTCAAAAAGTTCCCCAACCTAAGATCAAAATCGAATAATGTTTATTTTACTATAGTAAATATTATTTCGTGACGGAATCACTCAAACACAAAAATAACACCTAATTCAATAATGTCACCAAGACATTATGGTGATGAATTTAGTCTGAGGTCTATTGGGTTACAAACATTTGAATGTTGGTCGTGCAGTAAAAGGTTATGAAGCGCATACCTTGTCGATTGGATTTATTAAGGACTTGTAAATGTACAGTACCAGGAAAGAAAGCTTGCTGGTCTACTCTTGCACTTAGTCTGCAGAGCTGATTCTATGATTGGTGCACTTGATATGATAAAACTACACAATTACTATCCTGGTAAAGTTAAAAGTTCTTGGATTTATGTCGTGGGCTGTGATATGTTGCTGAACTCATAGGCAATGTCAATTGGCTTTGAGTCCTATGATAAAACATTGCAGAACGCACTAGTCATTGCCATATGGGACGTGGGCTTTAGAAGTTGCAAAAAAAAACAAACCGGATATATGCATTGCCATATTGTAAAGGTTGCGGAACGGATAGATATTGTCGTTATTTTTTACTTAATACCTTCTAATCGAAAGGGATTTAAGCAAAACATTCATATTATTTCATAAAATCAAACTTTCCATTAATTGATCTTTTCAGCCCCCAGTCGGAGAGCGTACATTTTTTCGTAATACGGCAGTGCTCCGTCAATGCAAGTGTTGACATCGTCTGGTAACTCGGATCGACTAGGAGCTGGATTAGGCTTGTGGAAATGCTGACTATCAAATGCATTTTGATAATAACCTAATAGTTGGTTTCCTTGTAAAAGCACCTTCGATACCTTCCATTCTTGTACAACACCGTCTCCAGCATTCCATTGCAATAATTTATCTGTATACTGAACACATGTGCGTTCACAGAACTGCTTCAAAATCAGCTCAGGATTTTCCAGAAGATCATCAGTGTCTACGATCAATGGATCAGGATCGATTCCTGTTTTGATAAGATGCTCGTAAAGTTGTAAACTTTCACCAAATCCGTATTTTTCAGGGACAAGAGTGCCATCATTCTTCTCCAGTATTAAATCTCTACCAGGAGTACATTCATTTGAAAGGTTGCTGTAACATTTCTTTATAGATGAAAATACTTTTGCAGGATGTCGAATCAAGAATGCATGTCGATATCCTTTAGGCAACATTTGTAGTTTCCAGGTGATGGCATACGACATGTCTTTGACAAAAACTACCCTCTTACCCGGGTATTTTGCCTCTAAAACACTTTCTTTCATAAATTTGTAGGTAACTTTGTCTGTATCCCAGCCAACATCGTAATTTAACTTCACTGTCAGGTTTAAGATCGCCGTAATACATTTTCAGCCTATTGTTCTTTAATATGCTAATTACGCCTTGCTTTATTGCTCTCTTGATTGTCGTATGCAAATTTCGTGGTACGCTATCGTTCACTGGTCGTATATTCTTATGCAAAT